AAATGATGGATTGGCCATTAGAACAGAAATAGAATAGAGAGTGTAAATGTTAGAGGGTCAAGTTTTTTAATAAAAAAAAACAAGCAGATAAAATTAGAAGTAGCATTAGAATAGAGGGTGCTAGAGTTAGAGGGTCAAATGAAGATGAAAGAGATGTGTTTTCAGCTGTTTCTTGAAAATATTAAGGACTCAGCTGCTTGGATTGAGCTGGGCAGGTCATTTCACCAGGAGGGAACAGTTAATGTAGAAGAACATGAAAGTTTGATCATAGGTACATTAGGTAGAATGCAAAATGTTTCAATACAAGCATTTCAGTCAAATGTAATTTATGCAATATTTCAAACCTTTAACCCACTTGGGAAAATCAACCCATGGCAACAGTTTAAAAGTAGCCCAATTCTGTGGAAAAAGCGCTGACTTGGCAACCCTGCATCCAACAAGAGCTACAGGAGTCAGCTTTGACTGATCACAGGTCGAGAATAAGGAGAGATGACTGACAAGACCATGCTTGAGTATCTTGTAAGATGTGCTCCCTTTACACAGAGTGCGTGTGATCGTGAAAGTAAACAGCGCAAACGCTCATTCAAAAATATTTAAACACACCGCATCCTGAGAGTGGCTCCCTGATGCGCCAAAATTATACACAATATTAGAATGTTTAAAGGAGTGGACACGAAAATCGCGGGAGCGAAACACATGTTGCGGGAGCAGGCGGCAATGGTCAGAGATTCAGCGGGAGTGGGATATAATCGATGTATTCTTTTTAAAGTGGCATATGTAACTTATTTTCTGCCTCATTCTGTGACAAGAAGCCTCATCAGATCACGAAAGGAAGCATTTGATTGGTGTTGTGGAGTAAAAAGGTTATAATGTTCTCTTTTGTTGGACAACAGGTTTAGAAATGTGAATACAAGGGAGGTTTAGCTTTAGGCATTTTAATTTAAGCATGTTTAGCTTAGTTAACGGAAGGCTACCTGCTGCCATCAGAGCAAGTGTAATTACTGCATTCACGCACTCCTCGGATGCTCTCATTTCCCGAGTTGTGCTTAAGTCAGAATGTGAAAACAACATGGACACTCTCGTTACTACAAAGATGTGTTGGATTTGTATTATTAGAGCTTTCCGACTTGAGTTCACGTGCATTTTCTCAGTCGAGAAATTATTTTTCACATGAGGTGCCAGTGATGATGCTTCTTACGTCCGTTTCGGAGAACCGGAGGAAATATTTCAATCGATCGCTCAGGCATAGCACCGAAATCTGCGTTCGGATTCGGTTCTAGTACATACCGGTTACATAGGTACCGGTGCCATATTGGTACCGGGTTTCGGGTTATAATTTATTTTTGTTAATTTAATTTAATTTAATATTTTTATTATTAACAATTAATGGCTTATTCTGAATGGCCATCACTGGAAAAAGATTCTTTTAAGAGTTAACTGGGAAAAAAAGCATGCATGAACTTGTGCTCTTCTGTAAACAAGTTCGTCCTGAAGACTGTTTTACTAGATTTATTTGTAATGGCAGAAAGTGAACAAATGGTATTACTTGCTGTCAGCATCTTTAACGTTGGATTACCTTGGTTATGGTACTGTTAAAATTTCACCAATTTGGATCACAGAAGGAAAATTCTCAAGAGCCAACCAAAACACACAATGGAGCGCACACAAATGAAAGGAAATCCCAACCTTGCAACTATATTCTGAAGCGTTCAGCCAGTGACTTTGATGACATTTCACAAAATCAGAGAAAAGGTGGAGGACAGGTGGACACGAAAATTGCGGGAGCGAAACACATGTTGCGGGAGCAGGCGGCAATGGTCAGAGATTCAGCGGGAGTGGGATTAAGAAAACAGCCGAATCCCGGACATTTTGGCCAATTAAGAAATGCCGGCCTGACGCATTTTTGTAGGTCCAAAAAGAGGACATGTCCGGGGAAAGAGGACGTATGGTCACCCTAATTTATTGCTAATCGATGTATTCTTTTTAAAGTAGCGTATGGAACATATTTTCTGCCTCATTCTGTGACAAGAAGCCTCATCAGATCACGAAAGGAAGCATTTGACTGGTGTTGTGGAGTAAAAAGGTTATAATTTTCTCTTTTGTTGGACAACAGGTTTAGAAATGTGAATACAAGGGAGGTTTAGCTTTAGGCATTTTAATTTAAGCATGTTTAGCTTAATTAACGGAAGGCTACCTGCTGCCATCAGAGCAAGTGTAATTACTGCATTCACGCACTCCTCGGGTGCTCTCATTTCCCGAGTTGTGCTTTTAAGTCGGAATGTGAAAACAACATGGACACTTTCGTTACTACAAAGATGTGTTGGATTTGCATTATTAGAGCTTTCCGACTTGAGTTCACGTTTCGGAGAACCAGAGGACAAATATTTCAATCGATCGCTCAGGCATGGCACCGAAATGAGGCACCGAAATCTGCGTTCGGATTCGGTTCTAGTACATACCGGTTACATAGGTACCGGTGCCATATTGGTACCGGGTTTCGGTACCCAACCCTATTCCTGATGGATAAAACCCAATCCCGACAAGTCAAGTGGCTGTGACGTCATAATCTTGACTGTTCAGAAGTTTTTTTTTTATGTTTTTGAGAGAGTCTCTTCTGCTCACCAAGGCTGCATTTATTTGATCAAAAATAGAGTAAAAACTGATTCAATTCAAAATAACTTTTCCATTTGAACATATTTTAAAATGTCGTTTATTATTGTGATGCAAAGCTGAATTTTCAGCAGCGTCAGTGTCACATGATCCTTCAGAAATCATTCTAATATGCTGATTTTAGAAACATTTCTTATGATTATCAATGTTGAAAACCGTTTTTGCTGCTAAATATTTTAGTAGAAAAAGTTATATAATTTTTTCAGGATTCTTTGATGAACAGAAAGTAAAAAAAAAAACAGCATTTATTTGAAATATAATTTTTTTGTAACATTATAAATGTATTTACTGTCACATTTGATCAGTTTAATGCATCCTTTCTGAATAAAAGTGTTAATAAAAATAAGCAAAAAAACATCCTGTTTTCCATTATATAACCAGAATAATGAAACATTTTATAGTGTTTTCACATGTAAAAATCACATACTTGATGTTTACGGGTTTGCTTGTGTCTTGGTTTTATACGCCCGGAGCATTTCTCCGACACAAATGGGAAGTGTCTGTTCCAGCTGTTTCCCTCTCATGGTTTCCTCTCTGTCTGTCTGCTCTCTTGATACTGTCCATCTGTGATCTTATTATATATAACAGGATACAACTGCTGTGAAGTCACCGAACCAAAAATGCATTTCAATGAGGGAGTGACCATCGCAGTCTGTGACCCCGAACACATGTCTGGACTCTTTCTCACAGTGTTACACAACAATTCAAGGGTCGTATCATAGAAAACAGAAACATATAGTTTGGAACATATACTATTGAAAAATATAGATGAATCAGTTGACTATTTGATGTATGACTGTGAACTACACCAGTTTGTGGATGTTGGCCAGTCATAACAGCTGTTATCGAAATCTAAAACTAGAAATTATCTTGTAAACCTAAATTTAGTGCAAGAAACCTAGACTAACAGAAGGGAACTTCTCGTTCCCCTATTGGACATTAAAAAGTTTGGGGTCAGTAAGATTTTTTTTTCTTTGAAAGATATTAATAATTTTATTCTGTAAGGATGCATTAAGTTGATCAAAAGTGACATTACAAAATATTTCTATTTCAAATAAATGCTGTTATTTAACTTTCTATTTAGCAAAGAATCCTGAAAAATGCAGAAATTATGGTTTCCACAAAAATATGAAGCAGCACAACTGTTTTCAACATTGATAATAATCAGAAATGTTTCTTGAGCAGCAAATCAGCATATTAGAACGATTTCTGAAGGATCATGTGACACTGAAGACTGGAGTAATGATGCTGAAAATTCAGCTTTGATCACAGCAATACATTACATTTTAAGATATATTTACATAGAAAAGCTATTTTAATACTTTTAATAATTTACTGTATTTCTTATCAAATAAATACATCCTTGGTGAACAGAAGAGACTTCTTTCAAAAACATTTTAAAAAATCTTACAGACCACAAACTTTTGAACAGGAAATATTTTAATGCTATTTGTAAAACCACTTTCATTCCAGCCAGCTATCTTTACCACATCACAAAGGGAGAATATCAGCTGCCCAAGACGACCAAATTTGATTCATATACAATTGTTTTGTTCCTCATGATGTGTGGAGTTTCCCTTGCAGCTGCCAGCAGAACAAATACAGTGCATAATGAAAACATCAACTGGGTAGTGCATGTCTCATGTGTGCAGTGACTTAGTCACGTTTTGAGTGTGTTTAATGGTGGGTGTTTCCCATAAGGCCGACAGCATTCTCCTGTTAATGAGTGGATCTGTAGTAAATGCACAGCTTCATCTGAGTGTGCTAGCGGCAGCTGCTTATGTGTAATCACAATAAAATGCCAGTTTCTAATGCATAATGTTTGTGAGGATATGCAAAACTACATTTCCAAGTAGTTAGTTCAAGTTAGTTCCCTGAGTTAGTGGTTAATTTAAGGCCTGAATTATTGGTTGGTTTCAGGTTGAACCAACCCTGATCAGACACGTTTCTTAGGGGGTGTTTACATAAAATATGTTCTTACCATTGTTGTTATTGTTAACTAAAACTATTAAAAAAAAAATTTCTATTTCTATCTAATCAGTATATTCAATTTTTCTATTTTAAAAAAACTTTTTTGTTTATTGAAATAAGATAAAATTTAAGTGTAAGATAAAAACTTGAACCAAAAAAAAAAAGAGAATTTTTGGCTTGGCAATTAACTGAAATAAAATAAGTTGAAGTACTAAAATTACAAACTGAAATAAACTATAGCTTAAATTTAAATAGTTTTAAAAAGCTGAAACTTACTGAAACTAAAAAAAAAAAATCAAAATGAAAACTGAAAATGAAAGCTTATTCAAAATATTAATGAAAAATATATAAATAATAAAAAAAAAAAACACTGGTTCTTGCGTTCAAGAACAGCTATATGGAACACAATTTTTTTTGTTTTTTTTTTAATCAGTGGTATTTTTACCTTGTCATGCCATTGTAAAAACACAACAGTCGTGGCAGGATGTGTAAGATGTGCACAATGACCAAAGACATTTTTCTAAACAGTGTTTACTAGAGCCGACTGATACATCGTTTTGCCGATATTATCGGCTGATATGAGCCTGTCGCCGATATATATCGGTATCGGCGAATATGCCGCAGATATGCTGCCGATATGAAAATTGTTTTACAGAACATATAACGCAGATAAAATGCTTGAAATGGTGTAATTACTTAGTTTGTCCAGCAGAGCGTGCTCTATTGTTTGCTACTGGCGACCTGGATGAAACGCTTTAAAGCTTAGTCTATGGAAAACCATTGAAACTTTGAACGGCCATATCTCCGTAACGGCGCGGCGAATCCGCACCAAATTCGGGGGATCCCTTCAGCTCGAGGAACCCTCTCGAACGCGAATCGAGTGTACCTCTAGAGGCCCTCTTTTGAATAAGACCACCCCCGCGTCGATAGCCCACGGGGTTCGGGAGTTGCGGGTGGTTAAATTTGCGGTCCGGCGCCGACCGATCAAGTGATCCCGGGGGGCTACCGACGCGCGGAGGGTGGCAGTGCACTGATGTCAGACTCATTTTGGATAATAAAGTTTATTGTTAAATTGTTAAATGCCCTGCCTCCATTATGTATCTCTGTCACGTCATTATAAGTGTTTGATCACCACATTTGAGTGATCATTGCAAAAAATGTGTTTATTTATATATATTCTGTTTATGTATATACTGTATTCTATATATAGTACTGGTCAAATGTTTGGACACACGAATGGGAAAGTGTCCAAACTTTTGACTGGTACTGTACTATAATATACACAAAGAATATCGGCCGATATATCGATACCTTTTTTACTCCCTAATATCGTATCGGCCCCAAAAAAAACATATCGGTCGGGCTCTAGTTTTTACTTTGCAAGCTGTCTAACAGCTAAAGCAAAGCACGCTGTTTGGTGTGCTATTTAAAGAACCGCCGCTAAAAATATCAAAACTATTTTTGACATTCTTTAAGGCACAACTGCTAAAAATTAAGTTTGAAAAACCAAGGAAAAATACTGTATTTAAAGGTTCTAGCATCATCTGGCGAACAGTTTGTTTTATTAGGATGAGTATCTCATCATGCAGCCTGTGAGATGGAAATATCACAGTTTGCACGCCTTACTGTGTTATCAGTAAGGTTGTCAGTCAGTTGACAGATTGCCAGTGATGTTTTGTATGATTTGAAAGCAGCTGTGATGACACACAAACCGCTGTGATAATAGTGAGGTCTGAGAAGGAAGATATGTTGAATATTTATTTGATTAAGTGGTAATTGTTTTCCATTTGTGTTTCTTCGCAGGCACATATCCATGACCCTGCCGGCATGTTTCAGAAAAAGCACAACCAGACCAGACTTTGAACACCAGAACTCCAACCTCTATGCCATATCTGGTGCGAGAACCGCACAAAACACACCTGACCCAAACTGAACAGCTTCACATCATCCTCAATATCGCATCAACACTAACAAGTAGAGAGGGCTGTAACCTAAGAACACAAATGAGTGACCGAAAGTAATGTTCTTAGAGCTCCAGTCTAGAATTTGACCTGCTTTTACGAATGAAATGAATCATCAGTTTATTATAAATTAGTAAAAAATAAATAATTGTTTACTCTGTCAATTTACTCTCTAAGTTTGAATTAGAAAAAGTAAGCCCTGATCCAAGTATCTATTAAATATTATATATCAGCTACTTAAAAAAACTAGGTTTTAAAAACGTTTTAATTTAATTAATACTTCTATTCAGCAAAGATGCATTAAACTGATCAAAAGTGACAGTAAGGACATTTATAATGTTACAGAAATTTTATGAATTTTAAAATGTAACATTTTTTCTTTTTACATTTTTAAAATTTGTTCTTTTTTAAATTTTAAATTGGTTTCTATTAATCAAAGAATCCTGAAAAATAAAAAAGACGAAAATATGAAGTAGCACAACTGTTTTCAACTTTGATAATAATCAGAAATGTTTCTTGAGCAGCAAATCGGCATATTAGAATGATTTCTGAAGGATCATGTGACACTGAAGACTGGAGCAATGATGCTGAAAATTCAGTTTTGATCACAAGAGTGAATTACATTTTACTATATATTACAATTTTAAAAAGTCATTTTAATTTATAATAATGGTTCACTATTTTTACTGTATATTTAATCAAATAAATGCAGCCTTGGTGGTAAGCATATGTGACTTTTTCAAAAACGTAAAAAATTATCTCCGGCCCCCAAACTGCTGAACGGTAGTGTATTATATATTGGATATATTTTGCATCTCTAGAATGCTTGACATGAGAGAGCACCTCACATTTGAGATGAAGGTCAGTGAGAAAGCGGTCGGTTACCTTTGCGTGTAATAATCCTCTGAAATCTAGAGTAAAGGCCAATGCATGCGTGTGGATTCATGACTGCTGTCATTAGGGATGTAATAATAAACCCTTCTGGAGGTGGAATCTGTTGAACTGTTCCAGATGGTGTTCAGTGATGAGTCAGAATACCTCTCCTTCTGTTCTGAGCTCTTGTTTCTTACCGCACACTTTTCGTTTGTCACATTCATGGAAAAAATGTCTGTTTAGTTTTATTTAGCAGATGCTTTAATCCAAGGCAATTTACAAATAATTTGAGGTCATTTGTGGTCATTTTACTTCGGAGAAGTCATCAGCCAATGATTTCTTAACATTTTGTGGCTTTCTGTGCAAGGCAAAATATATTATGTCTGGTGAACTCTGGTTAATACTGACTTTTTGACCTTTCAGCTATGGATGGAGTGCCTTTCATGATTTCGGAGAAGTTTGCATGTGCCTCCAGTGATGTGAGTCTGTTTTCAACCAATCATATGTGACCCTGGACCACAAAACCAGTCTTAAGCAAGCGGCAACCTCCCGCTCTCTCTCGTGAAGCCAACAAGGAAGTGACTTAAACTGTAATTCATCAACTGGCCGCTAGAGGCTGGCTGCAAAAGGGAGTCAATCCCATAGACTCCCCATGTTAAAATGCCCAACTTTACAGCAGAAAAAAACATGTTTACAGCCTGGTTCAAAAAATGATTTTGGTCTATATAGCTAATTTTGCCCTTCATGACAACTGTGAGGGGGGTGAATTTTTTTATAACTCATCCGTTTAAATTATATTAAGCCTTAAAGTTCTGCATAATTAAGGGCGTGGCCACTTGAGTGAGAGGTGGATTGCCACTGCTGACACTGCCGTCGAGCTAGGTGGGCGTGGCTTCAGCAACCTGCTCCCGCCTCTTTGCCCATTTTCGATTATCCGGGAGTGATGTGCGGTGACGCGCTGCCAAGATGGCGACGGCCCGCTCTGCCCACTTTGAGCTTAAAAAAACGCTCTTCGGAAATCTACGGGTGACGTCACGGACACTACATTCATATGAACTCTTGCACAATCTGTAGGCCACAAAGAGTAAACTACTCTTTACTGCCAAATCTACATCTAACAGTACAATGCATTCTGGGTACTTAAAACTAGCACATGAACTGATCTGGACATTGAGGAGGATGTTGTTAGTCTGACCGTGTCGCTCTGTTTCAGTTGCAGCAGGTGGATCTAATGGGCATCAGAATCAAATCACTTGCAGAGATCGAGGAGGAGGTGAGAACATAGTTTCAACTATGACAAGTGGTTAGAAGTGTTTTGTTTGCTGCTTTTGTTTCCAAGCAGGTATTTGCGGCCTTATTTAAAATGCAAAAATGTTTTTGCTTTTTGTATAACTTTATAAAAAGGATTACTCTAAATCTGATTGGATAAAGATATCTGTTACATGCACATCAGTTGAAGTAGTATTCATTTTCCTATTATCCACAGTCAATTATAATTGTTATTATATTAAATATTGCATTATAATTAATTATATCAAGGATAAAGACCTGTTCACACCAAGAACCATATTAACTATAACCATAAGGTTTTTAAAAATAGTTAGCATTATAGTTTTTAGTCTTGGTGTGAAAAGACCTTAATGTACTATTTTTGCTTTTTTTTTTTACTTAATTAATTGTAAGTTTAATTATTTATTGGACTTTGATGTTTAACCTTTAAATGGCCAAAATTATAAGAGGCAGGGTATTACAATGAATAATGGTTATTGATTATAATGGATGTTTAAAAGTTTTTTTTTTTATGATGTATATTATGTAAATAAAGAGGTATTCCAGTTGAGTTTCAGATCAAATCTCAATATTTTGTGTCTGTTATGTATGTGTTTTTGTATGTTTATTATTCTCATGATGCTCAGTAAACAAACCAGGGTGTATTATAGTTAACTAAAACGAAAACCTTAAAAAAGTCATAAAATAAATTACTTATAATAATAAATTATTTGTTACTTGTAATAAAATAAATGTTAACTAAAATAAAATAAAATACTTTTATTAAACAAATTTTTTTTAAATGCTTAAAAAAAAAAAAAAAAATCTTATTTTAAGCTAGTTGCCAATGCAGCATTTCTATTTTTAGTACTAAAATAGCTAAAACTGATAAATAAATAAAAAAATAAAAACTATATAGACATATTTAAAAAATAATAATACAAATAACAAAAACACAACAAAATTACAAAAATTAACAAATTAAAGTGAAAACAAAAATAATTCAAATGAACAAAAACTATAATAGTATAATGATTTAGTATCAGTCATAAAATATTGCATTTTGCCTAATATATAATTTGATATATTTGCCTAATTTTTATTTAATATAGTTTGTTTTGAAAACATTTTATGTGACCCTGGACCACAAAACCAGTCATAAGGGTCCATTTTTGAGATGTACTGTTGGCTATTGCTACAAATTTAGCCCAGCGACTTAAGACTGGTTTTGTGCTCCAGGGTCACATATTATGTTGAATTCAGCTTTAGATCAGCAGAACTGTGTGCTGCAGTACCCGTATGTGTAGCTGTTTTTGACTGATCCACTAGAGGTCAGTGTTTGCTGTGAAACTCGCTCTCAGATGGTGTTTAATTCTTTCTGTCTATATCTGTGCCAGTATGAATATAGTTTCCGGACGGAGCACAGCGCTGCGGCCCGTCTGCCACCCAGTCCCACCAGAACATCTCTGGGCTCTGAGGCCTAATGCTCACGCACTCGAGGAAAGATGGAAAGGAGGAGAACTTCGAACCTCTGAAGACCTGATCTGAGCAGAGACTCATCCACCTCTCTGAAAGTACAACGGAAACCCACAAAACAAATGGCGACGAGTTCGAAGGAGGGAAAAATAAGGATATTGATGGGGGTTTTTTTTGTTTGTTTTTTTCATAAAATTAACAAATATTTCATGTGGTCAACTTCAGTCTCTCTTAAGTTGATGCTGCTTTTTCGTAAAGAGCTTTGGATCAAATCAAAACCACTACCGTGTTTCATTTGTTATGTGACAAGTATTGCGTCTGAAGTTGCGTTCTGACTTATTCTGGCTGCTGGACTGAGATGCTGTTAACGTAATGACTTTATGAAGGGTCACACTTGGACAAACCCTTAAGAATTCACATTTGAGCCCCAAAGTCTGCGTCATATGCATGGAGTTGAAAGATGTTTTTTTTTTTTTTGCCTCTTTTTGTTTGTTCGCTGGCTCGGTTTTATTTAGATCGCAGCGACTGCATGACTTTGAAATGGAGCCCAGTTCACTGCACTGTTACAGGACTTCTGAAACATTTCAGTATTTTTGTGTTTGTCTGGAAAAAAGAGATTAGAACAAAAACACTCCGATGAGTCAAACCCTTGTACGTAGACAAGCGCTGAATCAGGAATGCGTTGATTTGGAATTGTGTGTTTTCCCTTTTGTCTTTGTAACCTGAACTGATCTATCACTCCAGTCACCACTGCTCAGTTTTACCCTTTCAGTCTCATGTTATGATGTTTGATGGTGCTCAAGCATTTGGATATTGTTTCTCCCAGTCTATTTGTGGCTTCTGACATTTATGGTGATATTTTTTTTTTTTTTAGACTTTTTTTATTTAACAAACAAGTTAATATTTCCGCAGTCATATTTCACCCCAGGATTCAAAGAAAAAATAAGAAAACGAATTTTGCATAAAGAAAAAAAAAAAGTATTTTTAAGACCATAAAGATGACATTTTCATGAAATTGAAACTTATTTTCCACACAAAAACTCATTACTGTAATACAAAAAACGTTATTTAAATCGTCATAAATTCTGTAAAACGGATACCACGAGTTATACTTACAATTGTACTTTGCAATACAAATCATGTGCTATTTTTCCATATCGCATTAATTAAATTTTTGGTAACACCTAAAGCCTTAATGTATTATGATGGTATTCATAATGTGTGTTGTAATGGATTATATTTTTTCATAAATAATTGTAACCCAACGTTAAAATGCATTATACTTTTAGGTTTGTCATGTATTTTGATGCATTATACTTTCTAAAGGTGTAAAAATGAATAGATAAGTATTATAATGTATTAAAACTGTGGTTACAATTATTCATGAAATCATACAATGCATTATAAGGTGCATTACGAGGCATAATTAATGCATTAAAACTACTTTTATAATGCAATATATATATATATATATATAAAGGCTTTAAAGTGATACCAGACTTTATTGCATTACGGTAATGGGGAATTTGGGGTAAATGTGCTTAATTTGAATGAAAATGATAAAATGCAAATGGGAAAAAAAATTTGTTTAAGCAAAATACAATTTCTCATTTCTTTCTTTTGATTTTCAGGGTGAGCTGGACATTTCTTGACCGTTTCCGTGAGATTCAGCTGAATATCCAGAACTAATTTTATTGTTAGCTGTTCAGTTTTAGTAAAGCATGCAGTCCAGAAGCAGCTCACACAGTGAAGTTTTGAGTCATGTGATTTGCTCCGTGTGCCACTGCTGCTTTCTTGATATGGTGATCATTATTGGTGAAAGTACAGTGTTCTTATTTCCGGGCGTTTCTTCAGAACGCCCTGCTGAAACAACCATCTCAGGTGAAAGTGTTCAGCTTGGAAACACCAAGTGTTTGAGTGATTTAAGACGCCAATCCATTCAGATGGTTTGACACCTTCACTGTGAGACTTTAATCAATCACTCAGATGGGCTGTAGATTTCTTACAGTGTGGATTATAATGTTCAAGCAGCTAAATTGTTACATGTTCTAACCACTATGTTGACTTTTATTATGTTGGATGTTTTTTTTTTTTTTTTTTTTTTTTAGTAGCTTCAGACTTTCAAAACTGATTTTTCAGGCATTGGGTCTGTTTTTGGCTCGTTTGCAAGCCGTTTTTTTGTATTTCTGCTGAATATAATTTAAAATCCAAGAATAGGTCTAACTTGTCTGGAAAACCAATCGCAGGTTTATAGATCTAGGAACCAAAATTATAGTTTAACATGAAGTTGTTGTCCAAAATTACGTGCTGACGTTGATGTCGATTTTAAAATTTCGTTCATTTATTTAACTCAAAGCCCTTATAGGAATGCATGCAGCGTTATCTATTTTTTCAACATTAAAATGAGGATTTAATTTGCCATTTCATAGTACTCTTTCATCTAATTATTTAATGATTTTATATGAAGACTAATTTAAATGTTTAGAAATGTAGCTAGTATGTTTCCCCAATATTTTTTTAATGTTATGTTGAATAGTTGAGTGTGTCGAGTTTCCAAGTTGGTCACACGAACAAATACAATAAAACATGTTTAGTTACTGCACTGCGTAAATAAACTCCTGTTCATGATTTTATCAACCATTTAATGTGCATCATCCAATTCATCGTTTTGCCTCTAGAAGAACCTGCTGTGTGTTTGTCATTTGCATTCTCAGCTGATTTTAATTTTTTTCTTGTATAAATGGAATTGCCATTGATGAATGCTGGTTGAATTTTGTGCTTTATTATTCTATAAAAATACCGTAAACTCTTAATGCATTCTTCATCAACAGCGAAAAGAAGTTTGCTGCCAGATGTCCATAGTTGTGCTGCTTGACAAAAGCTCTAACAAAATCTCTTTGTAACATCATCATTTTCTGGCAGCTTTAAAAGAATATTTCACGCAAAAATGATTGAAATTAGCTGAAAATGGCTCAGCAATGGATGCTCTGCAGTGAATGGGTGCCGTCAGAATGAGAGTCCAAACAGCTGATAAAAACATCACAATAATCCACAAGTAATCCACACCACTCCAGTCCATAGAGAATAAGATCTCTTTATCCATAAATGTATCAGCTGTTTTCTCATTCTGACGGCACCCATTCACTGAAGAGGATCCATTGCTGAGCAAGTGATGCAATGCTACATTTCTCCAAATCTGTTCTGATGAAGAAAAAATCTCATCTACATCTTGGATATCCTAAAGGGTGAATAAATTTTTTGGACTGGAGTGGTGTGTATTATTGTGATGTTTTTATCAGCTGTTTCTGACGGCACCCATTCACTGGAGAGGATCCATTGGTGAGCAAGAGAGGTAATGCCAAATTTCTCCAAATCTGTGATGAAGAAATACCCTCAGGCCATCCAAGGTGTAGATTAGTTTGATTACATTTTTAACAGATTTTCATTTTTGGATGATCTATTCCTTAAGCCATAAACAGTCTTTGACAGTATGTAGTCATAGTAGCACAGCATTTCTTCCTGGCACATTTTACCCCTATGTGTAAGTGTAAACGGGATGGTTTTGCCACAGAGTAATTCATGTTTACTGGAAATCTGCCTCTGTTTTGCGTTCACAAACGCTCTGAGCTTCCTGTGGCCATTTGACAAGTCACTTTATTTAGATCCAACATGCGTACCAAACCACAGGGAAACTTTCAAGACTTCCCTTCAAATGCTGCAGATGGTTTTGGGCAATGTGTTACTGTTTGTGTGGCTTTTAATGTCTTTTTAAGAGAATGAGAAGTTCAACAAGAAGCGCAGCAAAGCACGTTTATAGACAACGAGTGAGCATTTAAGAAAACGCAAAGGTTATTTAATTTTCTCTTTTAATCGTGACATCTTGCTTCTGGTTTATATAGTAGCAAGATGTAAGTTAAGTGCGCATTCATCTCTTTTACGTAATAAAAGAGTTCCTTGCATAATATCATTTTTCTGGTTTAATGAGGTTTTGAGGCCTACTTGTTTGTTTTTGAATTTCTACTACTTGAAAAATATCATGTTATATGTTCTGCAAATATCTTTATGGTATAACCCCGAATTACAAGACCCCCCTAAAACTAGACCCTCAAGAGCTGGATTCATATCCAAATCAGTATCTGTAGGTCAACTGAAATAGATACATTTATTGCAGCATTCATTTTAGAATTTGAGTTATTCAGAGCCATGGGATTCTGGAAGATCATGATGGTGAAGAACAGACTGCAACGACCAGTAATTGAGGTAACTTCTTTCAGTACACTCTCAGAAAAAAAGCTACAAAAGCTGTCACTGGGGCGGTACCTTTTAGGTGTGCCTTTTGAAAAGGTACCGCCCCAATGACAGCTTTTGTACCTTTTTTTTCTGAGAGTGTACATTAGAAATTGATCTCTATCTTGTATGATTATGTAAGTCGAGATCCAGATCTTTGTTTTTGGGAGCCACAACAAGGCCAAGTTTATGTGGTTTTTGCATTACATTCGCTGCAGCTCTCAAATCTTATTCTCCATTGTACATATTCAGATATTTGTGTGGTGATTAATTGCAACACATTAGAATCAATACCTTTTAAAATCTGGATGTGTGTGAAAGACTTCAGAGCTTGCAATGGAGGGCAAGGTTATCGGTGAAGAATGACTTTGGGTCTGTTCCTCACAAAACTGTTTTATGAAATACAGTGCACGTGCTCGTTCAAACCAATTCAATTTCAATTCAATCCACGTATATTTGTATAGTACTTTTCACGATACAAATCGTAGCAAAGCAGCTTCACAGTCGGACTGGTTTGAATTTCTCTCGTTGTGTTTCACAGAATAACAATAGCATATGAGGTAAATAATAACAGAATGCTTATTTTTTTGGGTAAGAAATGAGTATAATTATAATGAACTGTAGAGGTTACAGGTTTGATCACAGATGTACTGAGACTTGCTGAATGTTGATGATGAATGTCAAACAGACTGTTGTGTTGGTGTGGCATATGTACAAAATCTTAGCATTATGGGGAACAATGTCCTTGACTCAATGAACTACTGCATTGCCTCTGAACACTTCTGATGTCTAGTTCTGCCGTCATGGAAAGAAAGTTGGGCTTCCTAGCAGACGTTTACAGCTCCGACCTCCCAGTCAAATCAGCCTCTGAAGCTTGTGTCATTTCTGCTTTGATGGAGTCTTTTGAAGGCTGTTTTTCCATTAGCTTCAGAGGAACCTTTTGCCACAGGACAATAAAAACAAGTAAGGTTGTAAATAATGAAGCCAAACCATGAAAAACGAGAGATCGACAAAGAGATCTTATCAAATGTAATATAAGACTTGTCTGAACTTTCTTAACCTTTAGGACTCAGGGTGACAAAAATACTGAATTTAAAGATAAATGCAGATTTCTTATTTGATTCAAAATGCACTAAGGACTACATGGCTAAAATTAGTAGTCAAAGTTAGACTACTATGATGCAATGACAATTTTATAATATGATTGATGATATTTTAACTTTAATCTGATGGCAAAGAAATTTAAAGGAATAGTTCACCCAAAAATGAACATCTGAAGATGTACTCGCCCTCAGGCCATCCAAGATGAGTAGATGAGTTTGTTTCTTCATCAGATTTGGAGAAATGTAGCATTGCATCACTTGCTCAGCAATGGATGCTCTGCAGTGAATGGGTGCCGTCAGCTGATAAAAACATCACAATAATCCACAAGTAATCCACACCACTCCAGTCCATCAGTTAATGTCCAAAAGCTGCATGTTTGTAAGAAATAAATCCAAGATGTTTTTAACTTCAAACCGTTGCGTCTGGCTAAAGTATGAGCCCATAATCCATAATATTGCTTTCGCCAGTGAAAAAGTTGCCTTGTCTCTATCAAGAGAGGATCTGCAAAGACCAAG